AGGACCAGAGAAGCTCCTGTAGGTTCTCCAGTGAGAGAGTCCTTGCGGGGCCGCACCCCACCTCTGCTCTGCTGTCATGGAGACTGCCAGCATCTTGTGAGTTTTTCCTTTTTTTCCTGGGTCCCTCTGCTCTTCGATGGTTGGACTGACATCCCTGTCCCTTGCTAGCTGCTGCTTTCGTGGCCAAGGGGTGGGGGCCCACCTTGAGGTCTTGAACCACCCGCACAGCTGAGATCCGCCATTTGCCAAGTGAGGTTCATCTGCAGCGCACCCCCCCTGCCAACCACTAGAGAGCAACTGCAGCCTCTGCTGCTCGAGAGCCCAACAGAACCCCCTGCCAGCCATCAGAGAGCAACTGCAGCCACCTGCCTCCGGAGGCGCCAGCCTGGTGGGTGTGGTTATAACTGCGCTGAAAGGCAAAGAAGTACTTAATTGTTTTTGGTGAAATTTGGGTTTACAGGATTGTTGCTTATTTGTTGGTTGTGTTTCATATATATATGTCGGAGGATGCAGCAAGGCCGCAGTGCCTGGCAGCATGGAAAAGAATGTAAATAAGAGGTGAATGTCCAATCATATGTGAAGGCTAGTGGTAAATATAGATAATAGAGCTAAGAATAGTGTTAGTATGTAAGATTCTAGGAGACAGTGTGTGTGTGCAGCTGTGTGAAGACAATGTAATATTCTGGATGAAGAGAATAAAGCTGAATTTAGGCCATCATCATCTGAGTGCCCAGTTTTATTTACATGGCCGTCCTCATATTTAATACAACATATATATATATTCTTTTGTAAAGAGCTGTTATTTTTCTTTTCCACACTTTTTGACTGGACCCTCTAAATTTCAAAGTTGTAACTACTTGGAGGGAGGAGCTTGATTGTTTATTCCCATGTCCTGCTCTCCTAACAGAACATTTCCTGTCTTGTTAAACTTAGACACATTGTTACTGCACTTTGGGAAAAAAGCCCAGTAGTTACTGACTTGGGTTATGGCCAGGATGGAAACTTACTGATGACTAAAGCCAATCAGGAGAAGATGATGATCAGTTGAAGGTTGGACTTGATGACCTCAGAGGTCTTTTCCAACCTAAATGATTCTGTGACCCTATAAACAGCAGTCATGAATGAGGCCCTTTGAGCTCTCCTGAACTGCAGCGGTCTGAGTCAGCATCTCCCTCTGAGTGGGACACCTCTCAGAGCTCACAAACTCTCAAAGGACCATCACTGATGATGAGGCCTAGGCTGATATACCCCCCCCCACCACCATCTCCATGCTCATCCAGGTGCAACCCTTGCCTGTTGGGAAACACAAAGGGATTTGATGTTTTTCACTGAACCTGAGGGGAATTTCTGATAGGTACATTTACACACACAGAAATAGGTGTACACATGGTTTTACCTGTGTGCATGTGAATTGATTATTGTTGCACCCCTATACTCTTTTGCATTCCTGGCTTCCATGTAAATCATTCTAAATTACTTCTAGTTTGATCTTCCTTTGTATGTGTAAGGACTTAAAGAGCACAATGAACTGCCTCAAAATACTATCAAAGAAGGAAATTCCCATAAGTCACCACAACAGATAAACACAAATGGCAAAAAGGAAGGTGTTAATTCGAAGGCCTAAATGGAGATGAAGGTTTGGAATTAGCACACAGGACAGAATTGCACTGTGCAGTGAAACAGGAGGTCAGGCCTGTCGTGGTTTTACCCAACCGGCCAGCCCCCAGGGCTGAGGATGATTTTGTCCAGGTGGATTTCCGGACAAGAAGTCAATTAAAACTCTCAGTAACGCCTTTGCTAATTACATATTTAAGAAAAACGGAAGAGAAGGTTAGTGGCGCAGTTGAAATTAGAAGCAGCAACCATGTAGGAGGTGGCGGGCCCCGAGTGGAGTCCGGGCCCCCCTCCTCCCCCGGCTTGGGCTGGGGGCAGGTGTAGCACTGAAGACCTACACTGGAGCAGAAAACTGTTCGGGTAGGGATGTTGGGATCCATGTGTGGGATCCATGCTAGACCCATGCCGGAGAGGTCTATTAAGGACTGTTTCTCCCGTGGGATGGGACCTCCACAGGGACACAGGGGTGGACTCATATGCCATTATCCCCTGTAATCCCGTGGAAGAAGATCCATGGTAGGCAATTGTCCCCTTGCAAGACCATGGAAGAAAAAACCTTGAAGGTTTCAAGGCCTGGGTAACCCCCAGCCTCCGGCCTTAGCCCAGGAGGGGGGTAGGCCCATCCCTGGAGGTCAACACAGAGCAAGAGAGAGATGAAGGAGTTCCAGCTGCGATGAGAGTGCTGCAGAGTTATTGAAGAGACCTGGAGCTCTGAGAATGGAGAAAGAAACTGCTTTTCCTCCTTGGACTGATATAAAGCAGGAAGAAGTATTTCTGTAAATACATAATACTTTTACTTAAGTAAAATTGTTATAGATGTAGTTCTTTAGTAGTTTTTATTTTGCTAGTAATAAATGTTCATACTATTTTCCCCAAATCCAGTCTCTTTTGTCTGCATAAACCTTCTCTCAACTAATAGTAATTGTGTGTGGGGTGTGAAAGCAAATTGACCCAGAGCAAAACCACGACAAGACCCAAAAGAGTTAACTAAGAAATTTAGGCCTGCTAACAAGCTACTAACATCCAAAAATGATCTGTGCTTGTTCTGTTCTACTTACTGGACCAAAACTTAAGAGAATGGTAAAAGAACATGTCATAGGCCTAGAGGTAATAAATTAGGTTGCAGTAGGATAAGGTAGACATTTGAATAGAAGAAACAGGCCGGAAGCCAAGGCTTTCTCCAAGCTTCATTGAGGGGGTCGAGAACAATGGAAAAGAAGAAGGGTCAAGCTGAGGAAGATGAGTTTAAGCCCCCAGACTCATGGGAGGAAGGATGGAACTACCCCCAAAACTGAGGGCCAAGAGAAGTACCACCTCAAGCCCCGCCTGAGCTCCACCTATAGTCTGCCTGTTATTAATATTAATAGATAGATGTTGTAATCATTGGAATATGCATTTAATCATGTATGAAAATTGTATGAAAGTGCTGATTTTGTGTGAAACCTTTGAGCAAGTTTTGCCAGCAATAGCTGGCTTGCTCCCAGCGCTGCTAAAAAATACCTTTGCTGCTCAAAAGATCAAAGTCTCTGGGCAGTTCATTATACCAAATTTTTCAGATTCAGCAGACTGTGGGAAAGCGCAGACAGCAACAACAGGAAGCTAGACCTGGTAAAGTAGATCTGGGAAACCTATCCAAAAAAATTCCCACCTGCGACTGTAAGCACACTGGACAAAACTCCCACCATGGCAAACTATGAGAAAGGAAGCAAGTCCTTAAAACCCATGACAGCCCAAGTTGTGGGAATGGCATCTACCCCCATGAATACCCAAGACCTGGACTGTATAAAAGTGGTACCCCAGAAGCACAACTTCAGGACCCCCACCACCGAGCAGACCAGGGTGAAGATGGACCAGTAGAACACTGCAGAGATCCACATGGTGGTGATATATATTTACTTAATCTCTGTCTCTCTCTTACTCTTTCTCCCCCCATTCCCTTCTCTCTCTCTCTACCTCATATTTACTGTTAAATAAAATCCGTACTATTGACTTTGGCATATGGTCTTGTTTGAACCTTAATTCAGGCAGAGGCATCTTTTAATAATTGGATCCTAACATTATGTTTTAATCTGTCCAGTAAGTAATAGAGTGAACCTTGCCAACAAACTCTATAAAGTTGCATTTTCACAAATTCAAATTAAACCCTGCTTTTGCCAATACCTTTGCTGGTGTTTCTTTAAGCCAGCAAAACACTCATTCACAACAATGGGTCTAGAGCACAAGTCTTATGAGGAGCATCTGAGTGAGATGAGGGTGTTCAGGGGGACCTTATCTCTGTCTAAAACTGCCTGAAAGGAGGTTGTAGCAAGGTGGGGGTCAGTCTCTTCTCCAAAGTAACAAACAATAGGACAAGAGGAAATGGCTTTAAATTGCACCAGAGGAGGTTTAGTTGGATATTAGGAAAGTTTTTTTGAGTAAAAGGGTTGTCAAGCATTCCAACAGGCTGCTCAGGGCAGTAGTAGAGTCACCATCCCTGGAAGGATTTAAAAGATGTGTAGATGAGACATTTAGGGACATGGTTTAGTGCTGGCCTTAGCAGTATTAGGTTAATGGTTGAACTCAATGATCTTAAATGTCTTTTTCAACCTAAATGATTCCATAATTCTATTATTCAGTTAAAATTCTAAAGCATGTTTGATCCTAACATTTTTTCTACTTCATTAAAATTAAATGCCTTTCATCCTTTGGAATTCAAGAAGTTTAAGTTGCTAGTGGCTGTTGCTAGTGAAACCATGAACATTAAAAGAAATAAATTTAGCATTTTCCTCGAATTCCCAAAAAGGTTTGCTGTTTTTCCAAAAAAAAAAAAGTATTTAACCTACCTCCACCAATACATGTTGTGCTACATATTTCTAGCAAAGGCAAACAAAGGAAAATTTGTGTTTTTGCCAATAGAATGGCCAACCTGGTAAGACAAGCTTCAAACCAGGAAAGATGGAGGAAGAGGACAACTATAGTAACCCTCCAAGGAGCAAAAGGAGACTTAAGAGGGAATATTATGCAAGTACAAGCAGCTTAAGACATAACCACTAGACAGGACTCCGGGGCATCTCCTTGCACCCCCATTGGGATATTGACACACTCAAATACCTTTATAAAGTGCCTGTACAGCAACATCCACAGTATGGGGAACAAGCATGAGAAACTAAAGATCTATGTGCAGTCACAGGACTTTGATCCCATTGCGATTATGGAGACATGGTGGGATAGCTCACATGACTGGAATGTTGTAATGAAGGGCTATGAAACAGAGCAGGACCCTGAAAGAGTTAACTCAGAATGCATGCTCTGAATAAAAGAACTAAAAGAAACAAAATTCAAGGTTAGAGGAAAATAACACTTTGCCAAAAGAATAGGGACACACTGACATAAAAGAACATAAAATAAAAATACAGGAAAACAGAAATCATTAAAATGCTAACATACATACTTAAATAGACATAAGCAAGGACACGAGAGATAAAGAGGAAAGGAGAGGGCCAGGATCCAAAAACTCCTGACAAATACACGTTAGAGTCAGCAAAATTAAGGAAAGGTAAAGAGTTCACTGATGAAGAAGAGTCGAAAGACCCCGGCCTGGAGGCTGAAGAACAGGATCTCCCCCTGCACATCTCCCCAAAAGGGATGA